TTAAACGTTTAACGTTTTACCTTTCTTACGTACGTACCTACTACGACGACGTACGTACTCTAGTAAGTAAGTTAAGTTAAGTAACTAACACTCCTCCTCTCTCTCTCTCTCTCTCTCTCTCTCTCTCTCTCTCTCGAGTTTTTCATCTTGAGAATTGGAATATGAATGAATCTCCAAAGATACTTGGATTGATCAATATTTTGACACCACCCTTGAAAGTTTGGCCCTCATCAAACGGCCCAAGATTTCCTTAAAAGACACTAAATAAACATCAAAAAAGAAAACGCACCATCCACAATGATTAGGATAACTCAAGCACACAATTTCACTCTTCATCCATTCCACATGTACTGCTCATCCTCAACAAATGTTGTCCCTCACCTATATCCCACAGGTGAAAACATATGAACAATTTCATAGCCATTTCCGAAGCTCCATCCATCCATGACCGCCATGGATGACCAGCCATTACACCACAGCATTTCTATACACTTAGCTGAAACCCTAAGCCCTCTCCCCACCTCCTACCATGTACAAACTGCTAGGTTCGGGCACCCAGATGCTGGAACTTTTCAAAAGAGTCGGCTAAATTGTCACTTCATCGTTCGGAACACGGATGCCAAACCCAGCACAATAAACTAATTGCCCGTTTTAAGTTAAGAGAAAGAAGAATGCATCAGTGGCTCCGGGCTCATGAGGAGTGAGTTAAACCCAGGCAGATTAACTGGTTGTTGCTTCATATGAATTAGCGAGAGAAGAATGGATGGTTCAGGGCTTCACGGGCTGTGAGACGTTGGGTTGGGTCAAACTTAAGCAGCCCATACAATAGATCTACTAGGGTGGCTGATGAGCTGTGCACGTGACTAGAAATGATGCTCTGTAGTTAGCCACCAATGCAAGAATATTAGTCAGAAAAGATATAAAAACACAGCAAGCACTTCCATCAACCCCTCTCTCTCTCTCTCAATATAACATCAAGAGCCAGGCCCACCTTCAGTCTATCAAGTTTCCTCACTGCCCTGATACTTTCCCGTGAGCCTGCTCCTTCCGGCCAATTCAGATGTGTCCCTCGCCGAAAATATTTCTCTGCACACCGACTACAGCAAGACCAGCAGCTCAAATTATCAGCAAAAAGGAAGAATGAAAATGGTTTATTCACCTAATAGGAAGAAAAAAAAAAAAGAACTTTTCCCACATGCAGCACTTTTAGACGGAACTTGGCTGCCCTCTCTCTCAAAAAGGCAAGTAGAAACGGTTTATTTATTGAATAGGAAGGAAAAAAATCAACTCTCACAAACAGCACTGTTAGATGGGACACTCTCTCTCCCTTTCTCTCTCTCTCTCTCTCACAGAGCAAATAGAAACAGTTTATTCACCAATAAGAAGGGAAAAAATAACTCTCACAAGCAGCACTATTAGATAAATCTTGTCCTCTTCCATACACACACACCGACACGCACCCACATACACACACAATGGCATAATAAAACTTACTCAGCTTTTCGAATCATATGTTCAGGCAGTGGACCCAAAACCCTCTCCATCATTGCCAGATGCTCCAAATTTTCATGTGTTTGAAACAATGCTTCTCCCTGGAACAGTTACATATAAGATGATCCTAGTTTCAGTGTTTTGAAAAAGTATTTAACAGAAAATTCAAGCGATACCATAAAAGAACACTTACGGAGCACAGCTCAGTGAGTATACAGCCAATGCTCCAGATATCACAAGGAAACGTCCACCCAAGTCCTGCAACGAATCCAAGCACGGCTTCCCCAGTTAAGGCATGATCTATCAGAGTTACAATTTTAAGAAAATGAAATCTTCTTGATAATTTACTAATAGATGAGATTCAAATGTACTTGCATAAGACTAAAGCAACTCACAAAGCTTCAAAGTTACTTTACAATGAAGAATACCAAATCTTCCTAGCCAAATTATTCAAAATAATATAATAAAAATAATACCACAAGCCCCTTCGGACCTAAATGTATCCTTTGCATTACAATTAAGAAAAAAGAATAATCCTATAAGACATAAATTAAGTCACATACCCAAGTTAATTAACACAAATTTTGCCTCATCGGAGATAAAGTTCTCATGTAGCATTTTTTGAAGACCCACATGGTCCTCTAGGACCCAAAACCTAGAGTTCCCTAGGTCTTCGTTAGTTGTCCCATCTAATGCCTAGTAGATACCACATTAGCTTAGGTGTATCACCTATTGTTCAAAATCTCTCCACTCCAACCACCAGTTTGTGCCATAAAGTGTACGTGTTCAACCCAAGCCTAAGACTACGTCACCGTGAACTTAACAAAAAGAACAATTCACTTAAAGAATTCATATATTGTTTCTTTTAAGTTGAAAGAGATGATTTTCAGGGGTTTCTAATAAATCTCTATCAGTCCAATTCCACGACCGCTATGAGATTGAATGACAAATGCTTTGTAAAAGATTCTTTTAAAGCTACAATATATTGGACCGTTACCTAGGTCACAGGTACTGCAGAGTATCGGCATATCTATTGCACAAATCTCGCTTAAACAACTAGAGAAAAAAATACACCATTTCACAGCCCCAAATAAAACTCAATATTGAGCAGTGAGCATCCTCATCTAAGTTCACTGGGCTGAAGACCTCTCGCAAGACAAATGCACAAAAAAAAAAATCATAAACAATCGTGAGATGTAACAGTGAGTGCAATGGATGTGGTCACCAAAACCATCTTCCCACTAAAGATCAGGTACCACATCACACAGAAAGTGATCCATACTCAAAGAAGCAACATCCTAAGTGTACGAACTTCATCAAAGTTCTTGACCACAGCGCTACAAAGACATTTATCTGTGTTTGCATCCAACAGACACCATGAGAAATGCCCCCCCCCACCCCCCCTCCTCCCTTCCTTCTTCCGAACCAAAAAGAAAAAAAAAACAACCCAACCAAAATAAAAAATAAAAAAAATCAGACATGACACATCCATAGAACATTGAGAAAGGGGGGAACCGTAGAATTTAAGTAACTTTAGAAGAAGTTTTTTATTTACATTTCAGGGCAACATATTGAACTCAAATTTATTTAAAAAAAGGGTGCACCGAAATTTCTGAGTGCCCAGCACGGATGTCATGGGGTTGGTGCGATCTGCACCTACAACTTATGAATATATTACTATAAATATAACGAAAATTGTTTCATGCGGACTGGACCTCATTTCTACATTTGCTGTCCAGAAAGTGTAAAGCGTCCATCTTAAAGATGGATGCAAGTAGGTGTTCCATCTAAAAACAATGGAAACTAACGGTACAAATGATTTCTTACTAGAATTATTATTTTTAGCTTTTAAAATTTATTTATTTTTTCATATTCATGATCTCAATGTTAGAGATTACATACATGTCCTTAAAAATTAAGTCTTAAAATCCATCTCAAAAATAGATTTATTAAGAGGCCCGCATTTCTACATATACGAGCTTGGCCACATAGAAACCGGGTCCTAAATATAATAGCACATAAATTCCTCCATATTGATGAACTTATAAATATAATACAACTTCTAGTGCATTTGGAAATGCTTCAAATCAGTGTTCTGAAGGTTTACATCAAAGCCAAGGTCAGGGACTTGGAAGCCCCCAAACCCAATTACTATGTAACGTAAAACACTGCCTTTCAGCAACATTTTACACCATTGCCAGAAAGGGCCTCAGACCCCTTTTTTGTTTTTGTGCAGACCCCATAGTCGTCTTTTTTCTGTGTGGGTATTCTTTTCCAACCATTGCAAACGGATGCTGAATAAATTTATATTTTGATATTGTACTTTTTTTGGGAGTATTATGATCTATAATGCAAATATTATAACATGAATAGACTTTGTATTATGATAATATGATCTATACACATGCATAAATCATCGCATGTACAGGTGAGGGGAAGTTTGAAACCCAATAAAACAATGGGGTTTGGGATAAGGCTCCACAGAATGATCAACACTTTCCAGGATTATCTTGATGACCTGTGAGCCAGTGTTTGGGACAGCATGATCAACACTTCCCAGGAATATCTTGATGACCTGTGAGCCAGTGTATGGGTAAAAATATGGAAAGGAGAGAAGTGATCTGTAGACCATAAAACTGAACACGTCATATAAAATTTTCAGTGCATGGGGAAGGCCAACTTTACTGACATAGCTTTCAAGAAGGGGCTAAGTTCAAAAATGAAGGGAGCAAATTTTGCTAGTGATTGGATATGTGGGGTGAAAATAGAGGCCACAAATGCCTGCTTCCAGTGGTTTGCTAACCTAGCATCTGATCCAAAAATCTGGTTAAAGATTGGATACAACGGACTCGTGAAAAAAGTAAGGGTGCCCAAATTTCGGAAGGAACCTAATGAATGTTGACTCCAAGAAGAACAATCACCTGTTGGGGTGTTTTGGAGGACAAAACTCAGAAACCAAGATCTTGATCTCAATAAAGAGTCTAAGATCCTTAAATGGTACCCAAGTAAGTCTCCCACAATTCCTAACCCTTTAGTAGTATAATCCAGCACCATTCTTTCAATAAATACAAAAGTTAATTAAACAAGAAGACCTGACTAATGATAAGGGTTTCGGTTTCTCCCACGCGAACAGAAAGGATCTAAGAGAAAGAAAGAACTACTGCAAGGGACCTTGTAACAGCCAAAGACAACAAAGCCAATTGCAACCATTTAGAAGAAAATTTCAGTTAACATCTTTATTTTATGCTGGTCATCTGAAGCCAGGGCATAAACCCCAAACAACATGAACCCCATGCTTGACTACCATTTAGATCTCCTGATCCATGGCACTACAGCTTTGTAATATAAGCAGAAGAAAATAGAGAGAAAAAATTCAAAAAAATCCAAAATAAAACAATATTGAATTTGAAAGACCTAGCAGATACGAGTATATTAGGTGTATTTGCATTAAAGAACTGTGTGCATAAATCTCTACTTCATGACCGATTTACCTAGAATAACCTCCGGCGCTCGATAGTGCCTTGTAGAAACAACGGAGCTATTATTGAGACTCTCAAAGACAGTGCTACCAAAATCAATCAGCTTTATGGAACTTGACTTAGGCAAGCACCTGAAGTACATCTCATCCTGTGAACTCCTCTGTACCAATTGAAGCATCCAATTCAACACAATAAATTATACTTAAAAGATACCCAAAACCAAGGATTCATGCTTTTAAAAATAGAGACTAATTAGATACCCTGTGGTCTGGAAGCTTAACATATTCTGAAGACACAAGAAGTATGTTTTCAGGCTTCAAATCAGTGTGAATCAGGCGTAAATCGTGCATATCTGTCGAATATGATAAAAGCACCACCATTAGGTTGAATAAAGAATCAAGGGGGCTAAGAGACTGAGAAAAACAAACAACCCCCAAATTCCAAGCAATAACAAAAGAAACAATAGAAGCAAAAGAAAAAAGATATAATCTACACACATGCCACAGATTCCAAAAGCTGACGACCAAATTCCCGAACAAGGTCCACAGGGAATGGGCGATACTTATTTCTCTTTAAAAAGTCGAACAAGCTTGGCCCAAGCCTCTCACATACCTGTCGAAACAATTTTAAGCCAACCAACATATATTCAACCAAGCTGTTTCTTCTTTTCCTCTTCTAATTTAAAGAACAGTGAATTACAAAAATAAAGGCATATCCAACTTCTCAGGTTGTTCCTAACCACTCTCATATATTGTCCCCCCTATCAGCCAAGTGAGGTCCAACCCAACAACTGTGCTCAGTTTACAGTCATCAAGAATATAACAATTTTTTGAAATTAGAAGAGACCACCACATGAAGAGACCACCACATGAAGGCATTACCTTAATGACCTTCATACAACTTGTAGGGGAAACCCAACTGTCGTTTTAGGAAGAAAATAAAGGACATAGTGAGAGTTTGAGACCTTTATTATCAATACAATAGAGCACAGGCACCTGAGTATTCGCCAGGATCAGGGGAATAGACCCATGTGAGCTGAACTACTATCTATTTCAGAAGGATAAAACTCTAATCTCTTGGATCAATCCTGAGAAGTACAGAATTCTGGAATTCCTGGGAGCTTAAAGGGAGAACAACTTGTGGCGTTAAACTCCTAGAGGCATAAATCTAGAGACTGGTGTCCTTGAAATTAAAAAAAGGAAGGCATATATTTATAGGCAAAATTTAAGGCGACTCCCAAGCATCTAACGAACCCTTTTACAAGCAAAACAAGAAAAACATGTGTTCTATCAGAGATCATATCATGGGTACATCCCTTGCTGATAAAAAGGGAAAATGAAAATGATCAAGGTAACTTAAAGAAATAAAAAGTCATTTAATTGCTACAATGTGATACTTACAATGCATATATGATTACGGTAATCAAACCAGTTTTGAATCTGCACGCAACTGCAACAGAGAAAGATATAAATGCAAGGAACATAATTTGAATAGCATAGACTACTGATTCTTGATAGGAAGTCGGCTACTTACTGTGATCCACCAGCATCATTTCTAGCAAGATGATGAAGAATATCAATTTCAATCAGTGCAGCTTCACGATATTTCTTTGTGCTCCGGATTACCTTAATTGCTACCAAGGCTCGTGTTTCAAGGTCATAACATTCTAAAACACGACCAAATGTACCTGCAGTAGATTGAAAGACCCATAACTTAAATATACTAAGCAGAATGTGTTAAAAATAATGGCCTAAAGAAATAATCATGGACTTTGCCAACACACCTTCACCCATCTTACTGAGTATTTTATCTGCACCATTAACACAAGCATTAGTCATAAATTCTTGCAAAGGCAAAAATTATTAATTTTGCACAAGATAAATATGATAAAACCAGGCCAAAAACCACATTTAATGACCCCAATTGAACAACGATTGTCGTGCCATATGAAATTCCTTTTCAGCTCTAAAAATCAAATAAGTTTTGTTTATTTCAATATACAGAAACATATGGGATATTCCAGAATTGTATCCATAGTCCCCTACTCTGTTTGCTTAATGAGGATGTCAGGATGACACATAATTCGTTTACAAAATCAGGAATATTTGTTATTAAAATGAACTGCACCTTAAAACCAAAGAATATTGATAAACATTGAAGGAACAACAGAGCTCAAGTTCTTAAAAGCAAAAACACAATCACCAAAGAGGCCATAGTAGACCAGAAAATTCTAACGTTTGGGGCCCCAAAGATTTTTAAGGAAGAAAGGGAAGCAAAGCAATGACACTATGAGTAATACTGTGACACCTTAACATGGATTCTTGGCCGGCCCACATTACGAAAAGCGAGTGTCCGATAGAATTTGGCTAACAACGATGGGCATTCGGGAGGATTCAGGCTCTGATGAGCCATGAGAGGGTGGGTGACAAAATTTAGATCCCGTAGTGGTGGAAATTAAAGGAGTACATGGTTAATCTGAAGGTAAAGTTGCTTTCGGAATATGAAAAATCTCACCTTCAATTTGGAATATAGGTTAAAACACGTTTGCTGCACAAGGCTTTTGTTGGACAAATAACATGCTGGAATTGAATAAATTTGTATTCCACTGGACTATTAATTTGTTGTTAATTTCTATAATTTCCCGAATCAACAAAAAAGAACCCGTTATCTTCCTCAATGATTCCATAAATGCCAAAACATTGTCTCCAACTAACACCAGAATCCTCACCAAAATGAAGACTAGAACACTGATCTAGTAAAAAAGTGGATGTTCCATAAGTTAACTCAGGATCAGCTTTCCACTTTTGAGAAATTCAATAGTGTTCTAGAGCTTCAAATTTTATATTCATGGTTTCCTTAAAATTGCAGCTCGGTTGATTCATGAACAAAAAATGAAGCAATTGAAAGCCTCATTGGCACGGAACAAAGAGGAAATGAGGATAGAGAAATGGCAGAAATACTAAAAGCATTCATTTGCATTTGGGCAAAAAATACATTAAGTGCTTAATACATTTTTCCATCATTCAATAATTGCAAATGGCATATGTCACCAATATAAGACAGAATGTTACTTTAAAACCAAGTTTCAAAACAAAAAGAATGTTACTTTAACAATTGTGTATGAATGTAAACGAGAAAAAAAATAAAAACCGAGCACAAGAAAAGGAAAGAACATTGCTCCTAGATATGGGGAAATCTGACAAACATATAATACACACACAGACAAAATAAAAAGGAAGACATTGCAAGATATGGGCAAATCTGACAAACATGTAATAGATAATGAAGCAAAGAAATCACATGGAAATTAGACAAATATCAGTGCCAGAGGTGTATTTTAAAAAAACAAAGAATCATAGTAGAACTGAAGCCAATTGTAGCAAAATTCAACATAATCAAATTATAATGCATAAAATTCTAAACAAATTGAATTGTACATTAAAACATTACGTGCATGAGGATAAAGAACAAATTTTTTGAATAAGGAGAGGATAAAGAACAATTAAGATCAGTTCCCAGAATAACAAATTATGATCAATAATAAAATTATTAGAACAAGATAACAGACAGAAGCTTACATCTTGGTGTCAAATTATCCCCAATATCGAACAAATAATGCCCATCCTTATCATCACCACGCCATGGCGGAGATGGAGGTCTCGCCTACACAGAGCCAGGCACCAATTTGAATGTTACCGACCAATTAAGAAGCCCGAATGTTTCAGGTACCCACCCACTTCTTTAACCCTAACCCTAAATCCACCCTAGCCCTAGATCTATCCATGGCCCTAACCCAAGCCCCATGGCTTGAATTAGCTTATGCAGATACCAACAAACCTCTGGTTCTATAGGGGCAACATCCCAGGCCAATCGAGGTCGCTTTCTAGGGCGCTTCTGCACCTCTGCGACTATTGCAACAGTCGCCATATTTACGAACTATTTCTTCTCTGTTCACCAATAAATCCCTACAAAAACACCTCAACAAACTTCTTTAACAGACACTGTTAGGGAAAAATAGTTCAGAAAAAGGGACAAGATTTTCACAGATTGGATATGAATTGGGGCAAAATAGTCACAGGAATTAGCAAAAGAAAGGTCCCAAGATTATGAAATGAGAGGTGCTAAAAAGGAGATAGAAATAGGTTAAAAGAACTCGAATTGAGGGACAGTTGTAGAGAATGAAAGAAATTGGAACAAGTTTGGCGAATGAATTCTTTCTTGAAAATTCAGGGCTTCAATTTACAGAGTACAAGTTGAGATGAAGAAATACGAGCTCGAGTTTAAAAATCAGGGCTTGCAATCACGAAACTAGGGCTTCAAACTTACGGAAATAGAAGGGAAAAGGAGAGGAATAAAAAGTTACAGAGAGGGAACGGAATTAGGGCGAAGTGTACGATCAGAAGGCAGCAGAGGTTGAAGGGTATTTATATTGTATAAGGCAGAGGTTGAAAGGTATTTTAAGATATAAAAACATAACCTCAGCCTGTGGTGCTTCATAGCCAAACCCTCGGAAAAATATTTAGGGAAAGCTTTTCATGTTCCCCTTACAGCATAGAGTTCTATGTTCCCTACCATCCAGCCGTCCATTTTTATCAAGGGCCCGTCTATTTTTTTATCATGAGAATTACTCACGATTTGATCTTAGATCTGATATCTCGGAGTTATTTTTTTTTTTTTTTTAATACAATTTTTTTGAATGTGAAATTTGGTATGTACCATTTTTTCATGGGGGCGCATCTATAAAAAATATTAACAATAATTTTTCGATAAACATTAATGATGGTGTAGGTAATATGTTGTAAAATGCATTATTTTTGGGATTTAAAATCTTTTTATTTTTTATGGTCATACATCTCGATGTCGAGATGATCAATCAAAGGGTTTTTCAACATTAAAAGTACCTTTTCCGATGGATTTTTGAGGTGCATCCATAGCTCTACATTATAAGGTAGCAACTTTATATAAACTTTTTCCTTTTTAAGTTTCAAACTAAGGTTTCAAATGATATCTTGTAACCCCTATGTTACTTTAAACCTATTTTTTAACTTAAATAAATATGAAAAAAACATGCTTTTCTCAAATCCAATATTTTCTCTCTTCATTTATATACTTCAAACTTTTTTTTTCTCTCTTCATACGTCTCACTCACTCTCTCCTATGTGTTTCTCCAAACACCTCTCTCTCTCTCTCTCTACTCCCATTAACTTTTCATCTCCATGAAGCCCTTCTCTTTGTAGAAATATACGAGGATGGCTTTTAGTAAAGACAAATCTTTTTAGATTTGTTTGGCCTAAAAAACCAGGTTTAAATTAGCTCTGGGTTAGAAAAAATAAAATCTACAAATTTTATGTCCGATGATGTCATTTTAAAACCTTGGGCTACTATGAAATGAAACCTAAAAATAATAAGTATGGAGATATTTTCTCTTTTATCAATACGATTAATATGAAACCAAAACATATTCTACAACCTCGGGGAATAGAATCTCTATTTACTCCCTCAGATAAAGCATATGACCAAATTAGGCCGTTAAAATTTTCTTTTTAGATATAACCTCTTTAATACATAAATTAACCTCAATAAAAAAATAATTTATTATTACAATTTTAAGCCCTTAAAAAAATTGTCTCAAGATTGAATTAAAAATCCTTTAATTTTAGAGGGGTCAGAAAAAACATTTTTTTTTTTTTTTTTTTCAGAATTTCTTAGGTGGTTCCAAAATTTTGAGATTGAAAACAATCCTCCCAAATAGGTTGTTTGACTAGAGGGAGTAGAACTCGACTATGTCCCGAAGGAGCGTGGTATACAAACCCTAATATTTGATCGAGACATTTGGGATTTTTTGGAAATTTTGTAAAGCTTTACCTAGGATTGCCAATAGTCGGGCCTGGACATGGGTGGCAATGATCCAGACTCGATGTGGGCCCTGATGGGTATACTAGACCCGGGTCTAGGTATGGATCTCAAAAGTGGACCCGACAGGTCAGGTTTAGGTTCGATTGGGTCCGGGTCCGGGTCCAAGTCCCACATTATATTTTTGGATTCTAATTTATGAAATATATTTAAAGATGGAAAAAACTTATATAGCTTGCAACCTTAAAAAGTAGAATTAAAGATGCACCTCAAAAATCCATCCGAAAATGTTGTTTTAATATTGAAAAACTCTTTAATTGATCATCTCGACATTAAGATGAAAAAAAAAACAAATTTTGAGTTCCAAAAATAATGCATCTTGCAATACATTATCTAGATCGTCGATTTTCAAGATTTTCATATGTTTATAGTTTACTTGATTTTAACTATTTTTTAAATTCGAAATTTTATAATTAGGTATGAAAACAGATTTTCAGATAATCTTAAGAATTTTTTAGAGATATGTCTTAATTGGATTGTTTAAATTTACAACCTTATAGAAACTGCATCCTTTCAAAATATATATTTTGATTTTTAGGTCAGGCCTAGGTACCCGAACCCGACCCGTTGGCACCCCTAGGGCTGGACTGTAGGCTCTGGGTCGGCCCCCCGATTTTGAGCTGAATCCACATCAGATTTCGGGCTTTGGACCCTACGAAAGAATTGTTAATTATGTCTCAAGCGAGATCACATTGAGACCTGGTTAGGCCTGGCCCGACACTAAGGAGAACAAGCTTGTGTTAGGGTCATGGTTGGTCCGGCCCGTTGCCAACCCTACCTAGAATTTCTTTAGCCGGAAAAAAGGTATCTAAAGGAATATTAAATATTATATCTAATTTTTCACAAACTATTTATGCGTTATTAAACTACAATTTTAAGTGTTAATAATTCATTATAAAAATCTGGTAATTTATCATAAACTAATTTTGAAGGACATAATTTAATGAAATACTGACATTGTTTTTCTATAATTTTTAAAAGTTATTAAAAATAGAGAAATTACTTATGAATGTAATCGAAAACAATTAAGAATTCCAAAGTCAAAGAACCTAAAAGTATTTAAAGCAATTATGCCTTTTTGTTGATACATACAATATATTTTATTGTAAAGATTTAATAAATCATACTAACAGTTTTTTTTATTAAAGAATAATGAAATTTCTCTCCCTCTCACGTATTTCTGAAAATATCTATATCGTTTATCTTTCCTTAACTCTTTCTCTCTCTCTATAAAAACACACACACAAGCACAAGCACACACATATGTATTCCTCTTTACACCATCTCTCTCTTTTTATTTACATACTTAATGCTTTGGCTTTGTAATTTATTTAAAATATGTATTTCCTTAATTATGTATTCCTTTTTTGCATCATCTCACTCTTTCTAACTTTCTTATTTGTTTGGCTTTCTAATTTATTTAAAAATTATCTTTCCTTAATATTTGTTTGGCTTTCTAATTTATTTAAAAATTATCTTTCCTTAATATGTATTCATCTCTCTTTTTTTTTTTTCTAATTTACTTTCCTATTTTCTTGGCTTTATAATTTATTTAAAAGTTTAGAGTATTGTAAGACTCATAAGAGTATTGTAATAATACTTGGTTTTGTCTGAACTTTGAATATGTATCCTACAATCTCCTTAAGAATAGGAATCTTTTTTATTTTTGCGACATGTATCCATTTGTAGCTTAATAGCATACGTAAAAAAAAATATATAAATGTAAAAATCTACACAAAATTATTTGAAAAACCCTACATGCAATTTTTTTGTTATAAAGATTGAAGAATTAAGATAATTCTTATATTTGACCATGCCTTTGGAATGACGAGAGGCAAGAAAGTCGGGCTTCTGATGACTATAGTTTTTGTACAACTTAGAAAGACATAAATAAGGCAGTTTATTGCATACCCATTTCATGACTTTTGATGGAGAGCATGACTTTAACTTTTTTTCCCTATGATAAATATGCAGAAGTGGAATTTTGCTTCCAACATTTATTCTACATCAGATATAGAGACCTTCTGATTTGCAATAAAGACCCAAAAAAAGATGGAACAAAATGTGTAGGATATGAGAGGAGATTGAAAAGGTGAAAGAGTTCTCATTTATTTATTTTCTTATCAACCTTAAAATATGGTTTTGCAAATCCTTCTATCTTGTATGAACATTATAATATTAGTTTTCTAAAAATCCTTATTTTCACTTATATGGTTTTGAAGATTGTTTGGCTTGATAATGAAGTGAATAAAATTTAATTTTTAATTAAGATTGAAATGTCATGAATATATATTGTAGTGTCTATTATAAATATCATTCATATATGTGTACACATATATATGCAAATGCACACATACATGTTTGAGTCCATTTGTATATATATGTATGTGCATTATATGTATATATACACATAGTATATATATACCTAGGTATGTATATAAAATTTAAAAATATCTAAAAAGGAAACACTAAACAACTAAATAACCTACCCGTGATAGTTGTATGTGCACTTTACATTTATACTTGTTAAGTATCGTATTCTTCCTTTTTAAAATTTTATAAATGAGTTGCTTGATTTCAACCTTAAAAAAAAAAAAATGACTTTTCAAGTCCGTCCCATTATTTGATTTAATCACACATTTCCATCAATTGATGAGGTTGTTCGGGATAAGAATAAATTTGCATGAGGTATTTAATATACTTATTCGATTTAATAAAATAATTTTGTCATATCTATAACAATAGCTATCCAATCTATTTAATGAATAAAATGTGATTAGTTGAGAGGCCGACTTGTCTGGTCGACCTGGCCTCATTGCCTCCCCTACCTGTGCATAAAATATAAGAGGGTATATTTGTATTTGATAAAAAAAAAAAAAAAAAAGCTTGATCCAATAAATCTTAATTTACTATTGTGTTCTCTAGCCCCAACCATTAGTTTCAGACAGTGTTTGACTGCTCGGTCGGAGTGTCGAGTAGTCGGGCCGAGTACTTGGGCTCAACACCCTGGCGAGCTTGAGTTACCTCGATATATTTAATCTGATATTGAGCCACAACAATGAATCTATGTTGTATGCCACAAATTTAAGCCAAACAAATTGTGTGAACAATTTCTTGATTTTATGAATGTAAAATTTATAACACGAGTGCATAATTTTTTTAAATCAAATATGTTGTTTTATTTTAAATTTTTGAAATATTTAATCAAAGTAAGAATTAATACCAAATTATAAATTTTAATTTATTTTTGCTTTTAAGTAAACTTTTGAACTTCAAAAGTATAATAGATATAATGACATGTCTTAATTTTATTGCGTAAAATTTGCAATTGCATGTGGTATTCACGATTTTAATTATTATATAAAAATTAATGATGAATGAATTAGACAATAACAATAGAATGCCAAATTAAAGAAAATACTATAGGAAAATTGTTTCATGGGGGCTTGACCACATTTCTACAATATGTGGTCTCAAGGTATAAAACATCCGTCTTAAAGATAGATTCAAATAGGGGGTCCATATAAAAATAATTGAAACTAA